TTTCAGGCAGCAGCCACGCCCAACAGGCATACGAATCAAAACATCCTGGAACAAAACCTTCTTAGTTTTTTGTGTACTTTAATTCCTGAAAATTTGAAAAAAATTAAATGATGGTACGTACAGACGCCACATACATACCAAAGCATCTCGTAGTGGAGACACGAACCAAAACACATTTACCTCTATATCTTTCCAACTAGTGGCCGGAACTTAATATATAAGGTATCGTTTAAAAGGTATTGGCCTATAGAATAACACTAAATATCTTGGGTGTGCCCACATGCCCCCTTAAACCGGCAAAAGCAAAAAAACTTTTTTGTTTCGCAACACTTTAGCCTAATTTTTAAGAATCCGGTTAATCGTTTACGAAGCTTGATTATATTTTCTGGACACACTCTGCAAGACCTTTCCAACGATATATCAAACATGTCGATTGGACGTCTGGGTAAAAACTTCCAAATCTCGTGTTTAAGCGAGTCATTTCAGCATGCTACTGTGGATGCTTTCGTCACTCGCGCACACTGCCGTGCGCTGTGATGTTAAACTGAAGCATTTTCATATACGCCCGCGGAAGATTTTGAAATTTTAGCAAAAGTCATTATAAACCATTTATGAGATTGAAAACGAAAAACGTCAAGCGCATGTAATACAAAGCATTAGATTTAAGTGACAATAGTCAAACTACATAACATAGACCTAAAATTTCTACAGAGAAAGTACAAATTTGATATCGATTTTAAGCGGTCGTTATTCATCTATCCACATTCATACAAACATATATTACCCTTCATATCAATTCAGGTCTATTACATGCGCACCACGCTTTTCATTTTCAATCTCATAAATGGTTTATAATGACTTCTGCTAAAATTTCAAAATCAAAAGTTATCTATACAAATTCTTTGGGACTAAGAAATATTATTTTCTAATTATTAGTTCATTTATAAAAGCGTTGTATATTAAAAAGTTTTATTTTATTTTATGTACAAAATTTTGCAATAGATATTAAAATAATTCAACTTGCAATAAAAGAGACCAGAAGACTATGCAAGCAAAATGTTGTTTCCTTAAGTTTTGTATAAACATACGTATTACATACATACATATAGCAGCAGTTAATTTCATTTAGAGAAATGGCGGTCGTCCATTTCCGTTGTAGCGTGTGTAAATGGTGCATATATTTAGGCGCAATATTTAACTTCTTCTGGCGGGGCGACACCTAGAGTCTTCTAGTTGTATCTCTTTGATATGATGCCTAGAACGAGGTTCATATCTAGACTAGGTTGATATGTAGAATTTGCCATATATAGCTTTGCTCTGGTTTTACGTTCCTTGGCAAATTACGCTCTGTTAGCCATCAATTTTACTATGTTTTGACCGCCTTTGTATCAAGACCCCTGGACCATATAGGGAATTCATTTATATTTTAAATTGCATTGTCATCGTGATTAGAACTATGCTGAAAATTTCAAGCTCTACATTGCCGGGAAGTTAGTTTAAAATCGATTGGAAATTTCCGCGGGATGACCAAGCTAAATAAAAGCTTGTAATAAAAGCTTGTAAAAAGAAAGCAACACAGGCTAATGGTCTGATTATGCTTAATATGCATAACTTCGCACAACTTCGCATACACTTCAAACTGTAATTTCGTATGTACTTTGTATCTAATTTGTATGTATTCCACTACCCAGAAATTAGCAGAACTTTTAAAAACTTAGCGATCTGTTGAGTTTAGATTTTGCTTCACATTTTCTTAAGTTACATTTTTATTGCACTGGTACAAATGGTTGTGCGAAGTTATGCGAAGTATATATTATATTTTCTACCATTTTTACCAACAAAGGCTAAAAATCTACCAATATTTTCCGAAAAGAAA